AATATCATCGCCTGTACCTTTAACGATAAAAGATGAGGCTGGAATTGATTATTCTAATAGAGCACCTCAATCACACACTAAAAATAATCTTTCCCGAAAGGACTTTGAAGCGTCATCAAAAGGTGGCGAGTATTTAAATTCTTTACAGAAGAAAACATCTAGAGATAGTGTTAAGAATCAGCAAATTAATTATCGGTATTATTATTATTATTATTATTATTATTATTATTGTTTTCTTTATCCATTTTATACTTTTACCCCATTAAATGATTAATATTATACCCTTTCTGGTAAATTAAGGCCTACGAAATTCACTAGCAATATACCCGGAATAACACATCCCCCACTTGAAAAATTTGAACGATTAAGTGATATATCAAAAAATAGTGATAACGATCATCTTCAAATTCAAACAGATCTGCAACCTTATTATGAGAACCCATCTCCTTCGCCATCTTTGTACGTGCAACAGCCTTATGAAACATCCAAAAATATTGATGGCCATTCTCAACGTTTAAGTAATCCAGAAGATGATGTTCTTTTTGAAAGAGAATATGTTGTGGTCGAATCAAGACGTTCTGTTGAAGTTAACAAATTAGCTGATGGTATGCCAGTAAAATTATAAATGAGACGCGAACCATTATAACGGATATTTATACTTATATTCTTGTTCTGTTCGTAATAAATTTTGTGTATTTGTTAAAATATAATTATGTATGGCGTTCACTACATGATATAGAACTTGCCGCATCACCTAAATCTGCTGGATTAATACAACGGCATCACAATAAAAATACGGCGATTGTATATACTGGTCCAAGTCCACTGGAACTTCCATATAGAACACCAAATATGAACAACAATTCAGGTTCATTCTTTTATTCTACCACCCCACCTTTCGCTTTACCATTTGCTAGCTACGAAAAAGCTGGTTCGGGCAGCTTTGGAAGTGGATCATCAGCTCTTGCTAAAGCTTTATCCGTTGCCTCAACCCGCTTATTTGGAACGGGCAATTCCCCACCTTCATGGACTGATAAATATTCAAAACAAAAAGGAAACATGATTACCTTTCAAAATGATGTGACAATTGACCCTGAAGAGGTTGTATACCAATTCATTTAAGATACATATTTTTTATAAACCATTTATTTTTGTATATTAACAGATTGATTCATAAACAGGAAGCTGTTGTCAAGAAAATTGAAGATTATGCTCGTAAAGCACATGTGGTTTATCAATTTGCAAATACTAAACTTGACCTACTTTTACCACCACTACCTACCGCCAGCAGTGAGCTCATGAATGGTCATGCAGTCTCAGCTGAATCTGCTGCTAGAATGGCACATGAAGCATGCGTTTTATATTTAAAGTCACTTTCGTTATTGCAGAGCGCCATGGATAGCGCTGGAGAATATTGGACACGTATTAATGAAAAACAGCCAAATAATCCTGATGGGAAAGGGGCTTCTCCTAGATTTAATCACGGTATTAATTTACCATTTATTTACCACTTATTTACAACTTATTTTTACATTTTATCAAATCATTTTACAATGTTCATGACAAACATTAATATTTGTTAAATTTGCTAAATAGCCGTCCAATGGGTACGTAATCGGTTTAATGAATGTCTAGAAAAGGCAGAGTGCACCAAGTCTAGATATCTATCAGAAGAAGAGATGAATGTTAATGGATGTTTTGTGGAGAAATTACTATACGATAAAGCTTTAGAAATGGTAAAGTAAATAATTTAAAATGTTACAGTGAAGCTTATTGCTCGCTTCGATTTAATGATTTTTCAATTTTAGAGTCGACAAGCTGCTATAAATGAGTTAGTTCATGAAGACTTACCAGGATGTGAACGGGCATATAAAGCCGCTATTTATATGTTAAATGCTATTTTAGAAAACCCTATGGAAGACGGTGATGCAATTGATGAAGAAGATCGACTTACAGTAAATAATTGTATGCATATCTTATTATTTTGATCACTTTGATTTTTTTTATTTTATTTTTTGTATTATTATTAAGTTATTTTTTAAATGTTCAATAGTTATTTTGTCAATCAATAATCGATTGAGTTCTCTTCAAAAGAAGTTGGCACAGATGGATGTTGTTCCTGTGTTGTAGAAATTAGGGTTGCGACCCAAACCTTTTTTTTTGAATTATGACACTATTACATAGTTTGGGTTTGGGAATCGGGATTTGGGATAATAACAAAAACCCAAATATGTGTCCCATTTTTGTCAAACTCAAATTTATTAAATTAATGATATAAGTTATTAAAACTTTGTTAATTTCATTTCAAATTAAGAAATTCAAAACCTAAGAGTGTTTTAGCGACTAGACAGGGTATGTTGAATATTGGTGTGATGGTGTACGAACATGTACACAATAAATGAAACTAATTATAAAAGGAAAAAAAACTTCGAATCGTAAATAATAAATTTTCAACAAAGTTTCCATTGAATTTCGAGTAGAAATCACAAGTTCAATAAATACATAAAGGATATATATCGGGATCCCTTTATCATCCCAATATTTATCCTTTATGTATCCATTATTAATATATTTTGCTACAGATATTTGGCGGATCTATAGTAACATAAAGGATAGGTATCGGTACAAAATAAAGGATAAATATTAGATAA